CCATATCCACTGTATCCATGATGATCCAGATATAATCAGCAAACTCAACTTCTTGTTCCCTGTCTTAATTCCTGCCTGGGGACTGTTCAAATTTTTTCTCTCACTTTTTCTGTGCTATGAAAACATTAACTTGTTTTCCTTTGTTCACATTGTTTGTGTTGCTCTGCCTTTTATATCACTATTTTTGAGTTTTGTTTCATCCCAGTAGTCTTGGTTTCTGACAGAGCACCAGATGAGTCGGACTGACAGTGCAGTTAGCATTTAAAGCCTCAGTAAGAAAGTTTGTGTCACCTAGGGGCATCCGGAGTGTGTGATTTCTTTGGTGATACTTCGGGCTCTTTAGAGAAAACTCTGTTAGGAAACTTAGTTGAAAAAGTATCCACCCAAAACATTTCAGTATCTTATACCAACAGTTCACTACATAATTACCTTAAAAGTCCACTCAATGTGTGCTTCTGTCTGTAGGATGCAGATAGAATAATAGGATCATAGGATCATAAAATGGTTTGGGTTGGAAGGGACCTTAAAGATTATCTAATTCTAAACCCCTGCCATGGGCAGAGAAACTTTCCACTAGACCAGGTAACTCAAAACTCCATTCAGCCTAGCCTTAAATGCTTCCAAGAATGAGGCATCCATAAGTTCTCTTGGGCAACCTGTTTCAGTGCCTCACCACAATCGGTGTAAAGAATTTCTTCCTTATATCTAATGTATCACAGAATCATCTATGTTGGAAGAGATCTCCAAGATCATTGAGTCCAACCTCTGACCTAACACTAACAAGTCCTCCACTAAATCATATCCCTAAGCTCAACATCTAAACATCTTTTAAAGACCTCCAGGGATGGTGACTCCACCAATTCCATGGGCAGCCCATTCCAATGCCTGACAACCCTTTCAGTGAAGAAGTTTTTCTGAATATCCAACCTAAAACACCCCTGGTGCCACTTTAGCTTGTTCCCCTTTGTCCTGTCACCAGGCACATGGGAGAATAGACCAACCCCCACCTCTTGACAGCCTCCTTTAAGGTACCTTTAGAGTGTGATAAGGTCGCCCCTGAGCCTTCTCTTTTCCAGATTGAACAATCCCAGCTCCATCAGCCGCTCCTCGTAAGACTTATTTTCCAGACCCCCTCACCAGCTTCGTTGCCCTTTTCTGGACTCTCTCGAGCACCTCGATGTTCTTCTTGTAGCGAGGGGCTGAAAACTGAACACAGTACTTGAGTACCGAACACAGAGCTTTACTCAGTTCTGGTGAGTACTTTACTCACCAGAGCTGAGTAAAGAGGGAAAGAGGGACAATCACTTCCCTAACCCTGCTGGCCAGACTGTTTCTTACGCAATCCACGGCTGGCCTGCTGGCTCGTATTCAGCCGACTGTCAACCAATACTCCCAGGTCCAAATCTACTTTTTTTTTTTTTTTTTTTTTTTTTTTTTATAGTTTAAAACCAAGGAGTTTAGTTTACTCCTTGTTCTATCATTTCACATCCTGATAAAATGTCCCTCTCCTGCTTTCTCAAAGACCCACTTTAGATATTGGAAGGCTGCTGTAAGGTCTCCCAAAGCCTTCTCCAGGCTGAATAATTGCAACTCTCTCAGTTGGAGTTACCTGTCTTCATAGGAGAGGTGCTCTATCTCTTTTATAATCTTCATGGCCCTCCTCTGGACTCATTCTAATACATCTATGACTCAAATCACAGACACATACATTTTTTGGTCATTAAATAATAACATCTTCACAGAATCACAAAATCAAAGAATAGTTGGAGTTAGAAAGGACCTCCGGAGGTTGTCTGGTCCAATCCCAATGTTCATCAGAGCAACACTCTTCTTTGGCTTTTCCATCCCTTGGGGGAGGAGATTATTGTCAATGAACCACCTGGACTACTTCTGTGCTGCTGTGTTGTCCCATCACCAGATATCAAATCAGTTGAAGTCCTTCATGAAGATCTAGGCCTGCAAATGTGAGGCTGCTCCTATCAGTCTGTAGGTCAGGTGACCTGTAAGCTAATAACTGCTATAATGCCACCCTTACCTTCTGTCTTCTCTTTAATCCTAACCCATAAACTCAGTGCTCTCCAGCTGCTCACTCACATAAAGGGAAACTCCCTCTCTTCCCAGCCTGTCCTTCCTAAAGATCTTTATCTCTCCATTGCAATACTCCAGTCATGTGGTGTCATCCCACCACATCTCTGTGATCCCATCAAGACTGTAGCCCTGCAACTGCACACAGATTGCTAACTTACTATGTTTATTTCCAATACTGTGGGCACTACTACACAAGCATGTTAGAGTGGCATCCTAGCATGTTGACTACCTAGCAAGGGTTTGGAGGATCCTCTTCAATGATTTTAAACAATCTGAGACATCTCTAGAATACAAATTAGGCTTTTTGGATTCTTTCAGACCCAGAAGCCTAATTTGCATCTGGTAAAGGATAATCGGTTGCAATGGAAACTTGAATGTGCCTCAGAAGGAATGCTTGCTCTGGCATTTCTTATCACCATTACTGCAGAAAAGAATTGTTAGTAGACCAAACCAGAAACCAAAAATTTTGGCTATTTTCCTCTGAATACTGAAGGAAAGAAAAATAATTAAACAAATAAAATCCTTAGCTTGGTTCTTCAGAGAAATGGGATTACAGTTAAAAATTTCCCTGCTTGGTTGCTTTTCCAAACTCCTTCTAGGAATTTTAAAATAATGAGATAATATTTATTTGTGATAATATTTATAACAATATTTAAATGTGAAAATTAAATAGCCAATACGTCCCAGTATTTACTTTCTGTTATCCAATAGTATACTCCTCTATTGACCCTTAGAGACAGATGGATTATTTAGACCTTCTCCAAATTTCCAAGTCTTTCAAGGACACAGAAAGAGAATATTACCAATTTGGGAAAGAAAAAAATTACTTAGGTGATTTTCTATGATGTTCTCAAGCCACAAATAAATACTCCATGGAGTAGCTTTCTGGAGGAATAATCTAATGTACAGTACTGAACATGTGTTCATTGAAATGTCAAATGATTTTGAATTGCATGGAGAGGTAAGACTGGAGACTGAGCAGGTTAAAAGCAGCAAAAGTGATCCATAATCAATGGATGCATTTTTTATTTTGCATAAAGCTCAAGTGTTATTTGATTTATAGAGATGGTTTCTTGAATAGAGTAGTAAATTGTAGTTATAAATTCATTATAAGGAAGTAATTTTGTGACTGTTTTCCTTATATGTCTATGAATTAGTTAGAAAGCTAAGGGTTATTCAGTTCCAGAGTTTATATTTCTAATAATATTCTCCAATTTGTTAGTTACTTCTATCTTTCTTTTTATGTTTATGTTTTCTCCATAAAATTGGACTGTAGAAGTTTTGTCTGTTTGCTTGTTTTGAATGAATTTACTTATTCCCTGTTAAGCATTTCTGTCACTTTGCCTTGAAAAGAAACAGACATTAAGAAATAGGATATTAAGAAACAGATATTAAGAAATCTAAAGACAATGAGAAAATTTAGCCATCTTTGACATCTTGACATTTTTGATGCACACAAGACTGTTCTAAATCAGCAATCAGCTCATAGAGTCTGAGAATGGAAATGAGAAAAGGAATGTTTTCTCAGTTCTCTCTGCAGGTTCCTCTTTCAGCAGATCAGGGGTCAAATGCATTTACAAAACAGTAGGAGAGAAATCTTGTATTGTCACAGTGTGTTCCTAGAGAGTGTTCAACTTTATACATGCTCTTGCAGCCCACCTGGAATCTAAAATGCAAAAAATAAATAAAATAAAATAAAATAAAATAAAATAAAATAAAATAAAATAAATAAAATAAAATAAAATAATAAATAAAATAAATAAATAAAATAAAATAAAATAAAATAAAATAAAATAAAATAAAATAAATAAATAAAATAAAATAAAAATCCTTTCAAGTAATTTTGTCTTTGACACTAATTATAGTGGATAGTGAAATGTGGGAAGCAAGACAATGTTTCCTAGTCTCCAGCTGTCTGGCATATCAGAAACAGAGGAAGTAACAAGTCTCAGGAAAGAGCCCAAACTAATGAAGGTTGTAGGTAATGCAGAAGTAATGTTTTGGCCTGGTAGTATGGGGAATGGAGGCTAAGGTTAAACAAGTCAGCAGTATGTAAGCTTAAAACACCCTTTATTCTGTTATCCTGTCAATGTATATAAATATCTGAGGGGTGGGGGACAGAAGGATGTAGCCTACCTCTTCTCAGTGGTTTGTGGGGACAGGACAAAGGGCAATGGCTGCAAGATAGAGCACAGGAAGTTCCGCACTGACATGTGAAAGAACTTCTTCACGGTGAGGGTGACGGAGCATTGGAACAGGCTGCCCAGGGAGGTTGTAGAGTCTCCTTCTCTGGAGATATTCAAGGCCTGTCTGGATGCCTACCTGGGCAGCCTGATCTGAGGAACCTGCTTTGGCAGGGGGGTTGGACCCAATGATCTTTCAAGGTCCCTTCCAGTTCTGTGATTCTGTGATTCTGTAACTGGATGGTTCATAAGACTCATCTTAATTAAAAGTTGACAAAAAGTTACCACTTCCACTTCAAAGCATGCTCAAGTCTGATTGAGCACACATCTCATGGTGCGGTGTCTATGGCATGATCTGTTCACTCTTGGAAACTGTTGTAATGGTTTCTGTCAGCTGGTTGGTTATCTAGAATCACTGGGAAATACTTGTAGATTTTATTGTCCATTTTGTCCTCAAATATACAGTAAGGACAGTAAAGTTAGAAGGAGTTTGATAAAATGGAGAGAGAATCCTTCAGTAACAGAACAAGGTTAACACATTCTAAATATTGTAGTTAGTGGCTGAGAAAGCAGTAAAATTATCATGAACCACTGCAGAATACATACAAATAAAATGTTTGATTTTCTATCTCTTGCTTGGGATGAAAATTATTACTTAAGATATAGCATGCACATTGATTATTTTTTTTTTCATTTTAGACTTTTATTTCTATTTTTATTGCGTTACAGAAACTCAACTTACTGTATGAAAGTGTCGATTTCTCTGACGGTGGGTGAAAATGACACTGGACTCTGCTACAATTCAAAGATGAAATATTTTGAAAAAGCTGAACTTAGCAAAAGCAAGGAAATCTCATGCCCTGAAGTAGAGGATTTTTTATTTCCATTTAGGGAGCCAGAGATTCTATGGTATAAGGTAAGCAACCCAATAAGTTTACACCTTCAACAAGCTATTACACAATGTTCTGATTTTTTTCATGATCAGAATATGATATGAAGCTTGGATTGTTTTAAAATCTGTTAAGAACAGACAACAGGTTTGAAGATAGAAGAGAATGAATTAACTGACTGAGAGCAATTCAATTGCTTCCTTGGGTAAATTTTAGAGCTGGTGTTTTCTTAATATCCATTTATAGATGTCACAAATAACAGCTTTCTGCTAACAAATGAGCTAAAAAAGAAAACTGCTACCAGTCCAGGTTTATTTAATATGTTAAGATAAAGCCACGAGAGCTGCATATACAACAACTGCTCGTGCCATATCAGACTGAAGATTGTGTCTCTGGAAACTCAGACATAAAAAATACTTGGAAAAATATTACTAGAATAACTACACATACAATTATCTGAATGAACGGCTTAAAATTGCAGCATAAAATTCAACAACAACAATAACAATAAATCCCTTTTAAACAGTTAGTCTTGATATATTTTGGTTTTACTTGCAACTATAGATGATTTCATAGTTTTTATCAATAGCTTTATTTCAATACTGTGTACTGATTACTGTATCTTTACTTAAGGGTGAAATACTAGGAAACAGTGCTGCCTGTGGGCATCTCATAAGAACCGCTCTGAACAGAAGCTTGATTTCTGGGTTTCTTACCATTTGCAAGAAGTACTTAATACCTCAGTAATATAGTACATACAAATTTAACACCCCCCCCCCAAACAGTTCAATAAATCTGAAAATTAAATTCTGAGTATTGTAAAATATCTGTGTATAGAGGAACATCCTGGTATAACTATGTATAATTCTATTCTTTTTAAAGTCCAGTAATTTACCTGATAACTTATAACTTTTAATATAATACCATAGTCTGGTATTATATATATACCAGACTATGGTATCTTTATATATATATATACATATATATATATATATGGTCTAGAAGGAATCTGGCTGAAGTAACTGGCTTAACATATCTAAGATGAGAGGTATGTCACCAATTATTTGCTTACATTCATCTCTTATTTTGTGTGTATAAAAAACATACCAGAAGATTTATCAAATTTAAAATTTGATAAAATAATTATGTCTGGCTACTAAAAAAAATCTCAAAATATTAGCTTTCATTGACAGCAGTTATCTGAAAAAGCTCAAACAACCTCTAATATTTTAACATTAAAAACCAAGCCCATAATTTATAGACAATGATTATACTAGGAAAATCAAGCAAAATACTCCCTGACAGTACATTAAAAGATAATGTCTTATGAAAAACATCAACCCTTTTCTTCTAATAACTTACAAATATACTGCTCAGACATGCAAAGACCTAGGGGAAAACAAACAAAGAAATGAACAAACAAACAAAAAACAACAAAGAAGTTATTTCAAGTATCATCAAAGTTACTCAGGTGAAAATTATCATGTCAAGGAGTCAAAAAAACATGCATGCAGAAAATGCCTCTGTTAATACACAAATGATAATATTTTGAAATATTTGAAATTCTGATTGAAATTCTGATATTTTTTTTCAGTTATGTAACTTACTTATTATTAAGAGTTCAGAGAATTTTGATTCTAGGATACATACAGAAAAAGTTATCTAACATCATTTCTCCTTATTCCCAACTTCTTCTATTTCCCTACTTTTTTAATTGTAATTTTGTTTAAAATAAATAAACATATTATCCCATGCAACCTCTATCTACTTGTAATACAACAGTCATGTATTAAAGACATGAGTGTAATGAGAAGTAATTAAATGAAATAGAAATCCCTCAACAAACTAATGTCAAAACCAAACCAAAAAATAAAAAAATAAATAAAAAACACCAAATTAATATTTATTTATTTATTTATTTATTTCTTAACAGATAGAAAATATTACCTCAGTTTATAAAATTATATGGTCTATTTTTCTTTTTAACCAACACTTAACTGGATTTTGAGATTTTTAATGTACCTAAAGTTCAAAACTGTCCCTAGTTCTTGTCTAGCTTTCTTGGCTTTGAGTAGCACTGTCAATTGTGGTTCAATTTAAGTGTAAGAATATAGTCACTGAAGTGTTATGTTATCTTTAAACAGGAATGCAAGTCAAAGACATGGAGATCAAGTATTGTGTTTAAAAAGGACACACTTGTCATTCGTGAAGTTAGAGAGGATGACATTGGAAATTACACTTGTGAGGTAAAATATGGAATCTTTGTTGTCAGAAGAACTACGGAATTAACAGTTACAGGTAATCACAGGCTCTTATTATCTATTATATGCAGGAAAAAAAATAATTTTGTGACTAAACAACCATTCTGTGATTACGTGATTTGAGTTGTGAATATCTGAGTCATTATAACTACAGAAACCATTCTTGCACAAAACCTTGCTGTGCTTAGGCAGGAATAGTCAATCATCATGGTTGTCCTGAATGCTTCACAATAGTATGTGTAATATTTTGATTAAGTCTGAGTTTTGGTGTATTGCAAAAGCTTCTAGACAGGCCATGTTTTTGAATGGAAAATATAGTCAAGGACTATAAGAAGAAGAAGTTGAAGACAACTTCAGCAAGCATTAATTCTAAAACAAACAAAAAAAAATCATGATTAATTTTTATTTGTTGTTGTTGTTAAATGTCTTGGGACATGAGAATAGTTATAACTATGATCCAATAACAGTAGGTCTGATTGCCCTGGGACATGAGATGAGTTGTAACTGTAAACCAATAGCCTGGAAAGATCTGTGCAACAAGGTAATATATATATATATATATATAAGGGTTAGCATTCAAACAGTGCTTAAATAAATAGCATTCTTTCTCTGTTATTCTCTGCTGCCTTTTCTGTAATTTATTGTTCAAGAACTTCTTGATCTCAATTTTGTGTGCAATCATAACCAATTAACCTGTTTTCCATTAGTCTATTTTTTTTTTTTAATACATTTATTTGGGGCTTTAAAGATATTTTGAAGTACCAAATTCCACAGAGTAATTACATAACATACATAAAATATAATTTAGCAACCAGCAATTGAAGAAGATGAATTTAATATAATCTGCATTTAAAGCTACCATATCAATACTTAAAATTCCTCGTAGATGAAAACAAAATAGGAAGGTTCACAGCTGAAGAACAGTACGAAGAACAGTCCATTGGCTTTTCAGTTCTTGACCGGACCTCTAACATCTATTTAACAAGCTTTTAAAGAGTATAACTGTATGTTTACTTAAGGCAGAGGATTAACCTCTAGAATTATAGGATGACGTTGGAAGGCAGGAATACAACACAATCTATATAACACTGTGCAGTTCAACAATATATTGAATATACAGAAAAAGAAGGCAGAAGCAGTATTTCCTTGGGAAAACCAAGGTTAACTAGATTTGCGTGGTTAACACCAACGTTTGTGTATATAAGCTGTTGTATATCAGCTCTCTCAAAATACCAAATAAAACAATAAGCAAATCTTAGACAAGGAGTTCTGTGGGCTTTTTTTTTTTTTTTTTTTTTTTTTGGTTTGTTTCTTTCTTCCATTTTAGTATCTAATATATAAATATTTTGCATGATGACAATTAGAAACCACACTTACATTGATTGAGTTGAACAGTTTCTTTTTACGGTGAAAAGTTTGCTTTCTATTTTGATGTGTCCCATTTACTCCACATTATCAGAAATTAAAATGAATTATGGTTTGTAATTTTCTTCTATTAGAAGAAAATGTTTTCTATGGTTTGTGATTTTTTCTTTCTTCAGTCTGGAAATCATACTGTTTATGTTGTTTTGAGAGAATTCAGGCAATCAATTATATTTAAATTCAATATCAAGGATATCTTCATATTCTATTGTTTGGAATTGATTTATTTAGTCAGTACAGACAGGAAATTATTGTCTAATGATTAAGCTCACAATAAACATATCCTAATTGATTCTCATGCATACAAGGCAGAGATAATAATAATATAATTTGATTTGTACCAGGAGGTTGTCAATTACCTTTTGCAATATATGATGTATAGACTCAAAGAGTGTTCGCTCATTCTTCAGGTGATTCCTCCTGTCCCTGTGGGTGATGTTCCACTGTGATTTCAAGTAGACTCAGAGAGGGGAGAAAGGAAAGTGTTGCAACCAGATGCATGTTGCTACTTGTAGTTTCAAAAATGTAATTCATCACTTGTGTTGGTAGTTCAGTGTTTAACTGGACAGAGACAGAAAGAGACTTTGTTGATTTTGATGTGTTAAAAATGAATGAATGCATAAGGAGGGAATTACATAACTTCCACCTCTGCAAACCCTGGCAGATGTAAAGATAACCTCCAAAGCAATAAGCTGCTTGGATAGTACTGGTACAAACAGATCTCCCCACAGTACTAATTTTACTAATTTTATACTAAAACTAGTAACATCTTGATAAGACTTTTTATCAATGCTTTATATGAAGAGATTTGAGCTTTACAATCCAGCCTTATACTTTGTGCTGAAAAACAATTTTTGTCCTCAAAATACATTTAGGAGTATTTAGAATGGGTGGGTTGTGGGTGAAGGTGGAGGGGACAGATTGCTTGTTTTGAAATAGAAATTAGGCTTTAATTAAGAAAATGAGAAATAAATGTTCCAAATGTCAAATTAATGGCAGAAAAATTAATTGCTGATTGATTTCTTTATTATAATAATGAAAATGTAATTAATTAAAACTAAGCAACTATGTATCCTTCCAACAGTTTCTGACGTGCCTCCAGGCAGTATTGATAAATGATGACATTTATGTGAACTATTGCTAAGAACAAATTTAATCATTAAGGATCAGATCAAAAAAAAAAAAAGTGAGAAAATATTTCAGAGGCATTTGAATTTTTTCTGCCAAACATATTAGTGAGTTACAATAAAAGAAATACAAAAGTATGAGTAAGCAAGTAGTTTTGAGAATTACCAATTTGTCTCTTGCTTTCAAAAATCTATAACATAATGGAGCTTGTGATGTGTTTATCAAAATGGGACTCATGAAAAATAACTCTCGCTATTCATTAGCATTACCTTATCAGGGTTCTCCCTGACACCAACATCACACAGCCATCATCAAAAAAATACTTTTTGTTTTGTTTTGTCTTTCCTACGTGCTATGTTTCCACATGTGTTTAAGATTGGAACTTGGACTTTCTACGTTTCTTTCCAAGAGCATATCATCTTTCCTATAGAAACAGAAACAAATGAGCAAACTAAAATCACTTTTGATGCAAGAAATACATTTTATATATGTAAATATTTGTATTTTTCTACAGTAACTGAAGATCCAACTTTGTGCATTATTACTAGTATGAAATCAAATGGTTTACTGTTTTGTTAAGAAATAATAGATGTCTGGTTGGTGACATAACAGGATTAAGTATGTTCTGTGGAATATCCTTCCATTTACTTAAAGAGGCAAGGAGAAACAGAATATTACAGAATATTGGGAGGGTACAGTTACACAATCATAGGCATATTCTCCAAACACCTAAATTTTTCATCCTTATTTGGTCTCCAAAATTCAAATTGGAATTAAAAAAAAAAAAAAGTTAAATGATGGTTTTGAAAAATACTATTATTTCAATGGATATCTTACCTGTGAACAATTTATACTGAAAACTTTCCTGCAGATAACAAACCGAGTTTGAACTCAGGAAGTTATTTGGACAAATATCTCAAAATTATTTGTTGCAAACAGTGTTTTTTGTGGATGATAATTTAGATGTTATATATCTTAATCAATCAAATAAACAAAAACCTGTTAAGTCTTTCCTCCTTTTATGGGATAGAAATTATGCTCAGTCTTTCTCTCTCTGATTTCTTGTACTACTTTATGTAAATTATGTCTGTTCTTAATTTCAAATACAAACAAGTTTGTATCTCAGAGTTTAAATTCATTCATCACAGATCTACCTTAAAACACAACGGCAGACGTAATATTGAGGTGCCATACAAATACATGTGGAATGTACCCAGTAAGTATGTTGAAGGTACACAGCTATTCAGACTAACCTTTACAACCTGGTGATTTTTAAGACAGGATTGGGTTGATATCTTAATAAAAAAGGAACAATAATATAAATCTCACTAATGAAGAGAAGATAGGATGTGTTCAGACAATATCGAAAAGGATAGAAAAGGTTTTCTTATAAATTTATAAAACTTATAAGAGAACTTATAAAATTTATCTTTCTGTTATTACGCATAAGAGCTAGGGTAGAAGTTAGAAAACCTTCACAAGAGTTTGGTGGAAGAACAGGGCCATATGCATAAGGAACTGTGATATGGTAAATTAAGGGCAGCTCCTGGATGATTTAAGGCAGACAGAGGGTGAGCCAACTATAATATTGATGGGACATGTCAGCAGCCTTCCTTCCTCATCTCTCTCTCTTTTTGGATGATGTTGTGAAGACAGTTGACTTCAAGATCACCTTCATTTTCCAGCACTTTGGCAGTCTTGGTGTCTTCTATACGGAAACTGCTATTGCTACTGCAGACTATTAAACTATGGATATAATTATATAGGCACATAATATTCAATATGATGTTGCATATTCTTGCTATGTTAATGTTTCACATATTATATACCTCTGTATACAGTGTAATATTGAACAGCACGTATTCTGATTCAAAATTAAAATTGGGGGAAGAAGGAAGGAAGGAAATTCGCACATTTTTTAAAAGGCCAACTTTATAGATCATGTCCATCTCATCTAACTCTAACAATTGAAAATCAGTAAGCCATGAAAAGTGAAGATTTTCCCGCCTTTTATAGAATGAGAAAGCAAATTATGTTCTCTTAGTTTAAGTTATATGCATTGAATCTCATTTTTGATTCACCTTTAAAGTAACAACCATGTTTTATGCTTACTTTTAAGATTCATTAAAAAGAAAAACAAAACAAAACAAAACTTATTAATGGCTAAAACATTGTATGAACATTTGTAAATTACACACAAAATCTTCAAATGTTACATACCCGTTCCTTACCAAGTATATATTTAAATTCCATTCCAAAATATGATTTATTCTTACAGTATGGATACATCTTTCAGTTAGGATAAATCTTTTTTTTTTTTTTTAATTTTCATATTTTTTAAAAAATCTATATTTCACATTGAAAATATATCATCTAAATATTTTGAATCAATTTTCTTACTGTGCTGCCATCTGACTTATAAAATATCTGCTTTGCAGATTACTCTAGTCTTATTTAGTTGGTAACTAAATTCAATATTCACACAAA